AAGAAAAAAAAAATCTCCATCATCCAGAAACAACCATAGATAACTTTGCGATAAGAACCAGCAGATTTCAAAGAGGTAATTGATGAAAAAATTGCCCCATTTGTTTATGCAACAAACTCTCCTTTCCGTATGATTGAGAACTCATACTTCATTAACACGGTTCAATCATTAAGACCAGGATATAGTCTACCCAACAGAGCAGATGTCGCAGGCAAATTGCTGGATAAAGTGTATGAAAGAGAAATTGAGCAGTGTGCAAAAGGTCTAGAGGGTGAAATTGTTAACCTGAATCTTGATGGGTGGAGCTATGTCCACAATGATCCTGTTGTACGTGCTTGTGTGACAATAGAAGAAGGGAATGTCTTCCTTACAGAAACAATTGATACATCAGGAAATGCACACACAGCAGAATACTTACAAGAAGTAGCAGTAAAAGCTATAACAAACTGTGAAAAAAAATTCGAATGTCACAGACAATGCTGCAAATGTATCCAAGATGAAAAGAAATTTTTAGAAGTGAGTACCAAGCTAATAACATACGGTTGCAGTGCTCATTTGATGCACCTCCTAGCTCAAGACTTCAGTGTTCCAGAAATAAAGGCTAATGTTGAAATTGCAAAATACTTCTGCAACAACCCATTTTGCAGCAGCTGCTCTGAAAAAAGTGGGAGGAACCAAGCTAGCTCTCTCACAAGACATGTGATGGAACTCAGTAGTGGACTGTTTTGAGTATTATATCAAGAACTGGCCTAATCTGATGACAGTTTGTGAACAAAATTGTGAAAAAAACAGATGGCACTGTCACAGCCAAAGTTCTCAGCATTGGTCTTAAGAGAAATGTTGAACACATGCTGAGTACCCTGAAGCCTATTTCTGTAGTCTTGAAAGGAAATAGCTGTTTTATTGCTGACTCTGTTGAAATTTGGAAGGAACTGAGTGAAAAGAGAAATATGCAATGACAGAATTAAATTACAAGCATTAAAAAAAACAGTGAATGAGACAAGCACTATATTCTCAATACGCGGTACCAGGGTCAAACCTTAACTGCTGAAGAAGAGGAGTTGGCTATGACATGGACATCCAGCAATCATCCCTCCATAATGCCAACTATAATAAACTTCAGAGCTAAGGGTGAACCATTCAAGAAATATATGTTTGCTGACAATGTTTTAAAGAAAGTCACACCAGTGAACTGGTGGAAGTCACTTAAGCACTTGGATTCAGAGACAGTTGAAGTGATAATCTCACTTTTAACAGCAATAGCTTCTTCTGCCGGTGTAGAAAGAATATTTTCTTCCTTTGGACTAATTCATTCCAAATTAAGAAATCATTTGGGACCTGAAAAAGCAGGAAAGCTTGTTTTTCTTTTCCAGATTATGAACAGGAAAATGAATTTATAGAATATCAGGGTTGGAAGGGACCTCAGGAGGTCATCTAGTCCAACCCCCTGCTCAAAGCAGGACCAATCCCCAGACAGATTTTTACTCCAGTTCCCTAAATGGTCCCCTCAGGGATTGAACTCACAACCCTGGGAAGGTGAAGACGACTGAGTTAGATGCAGAAGCCAATATTTTAAGTTTCTCATGTTGACCTGTCTGACATAGTCAATTTAATTTGTTTGTTTTTTTAATATTTACCGTATATACTCGATCACAAGCCAGTTCGTTTATAAGCCGACCCCCCCCCCCCAGATGGATAAGTAAAAATGGAAAATTTTTATAACCCATTCATAAGCCGACCCTATAATTCAGGGGTCAGCAAACTTTGGCTTCCGGGCCATCAGGATAAGCCGCTGGTGGGCCGAGATGTTTGTTTACCTCAAGCATCCGCAGGCACAGAGGTAAACCTAAGTAAACAAAGTGTCCCAGCGGGCCAGCTGTTTACCCTAACAGGCCGGGACAGCAACCGGTGGGGAAATTTTTGGGGGGGGGGGGGGAGAAGCTGGGAGTCAGGGGAGTAACCCCTGTGACCACTCCCCACATGACCCCATCCCTAGCCCGGGACTCCCACACTCTCCCCATCCCATCCCTTCCCACCTTATCTGGGGAGGGCCAAAGGAAGATGTCTCTGACCTGGCTGGAGCTGCTCCAGCAGGCTGGGCAGTGCGGCCACAGCCTGCTCCGGCGAGCCTGACCGGGTGGCGCGGCCACAGCATGTTCCAGAGGGCTGGGCCACGCAGCACGGCCGCAGCGTGCTCCGACGGGCTGCGCAGCGTGGCCACAACCTGCTCTGGGGGCGCAGGGTCGAGCCGCACGGCTGCAGTCTGCCAGCCCCAGAGCTGCAGCTGCTTCAGAGGCTGGGGGGAGAGCAGCGTGGCCAGAAGCAGAGACTCTGGCCCCACCTCTTCCCTTCTGTCTCTGCTGCCTCTCCTTGCTCCCTCTGTTGGGGGGAGGGGCTGTGTCCCACCTCTCCCTCTCTATACCCGTTCATAAGCCGACCCCCTTCTCCGGTGCTTCCCTTTTTTACTAAAAAATTCGGCTTATGAACGAGTATATACCGTAATTCAACTATTTTAGTTAAAAACAATTTTAACAAATACAAAACCTGATTTTAAAAAACTTGAATGTTTGACTAAATTCAAAAATTCATATGCTTGTTTTGTTAAAATATTATATGTTTGCTGTTGAAGAAAAAAAATCCAGAATTGTTGTTTTAGTTAATTAAAACAATTTAAATGTCTGTCTGTTGATGTTCTCCTACTAATACAGCATGGCAAGAAAATCCTCCCAATATTAATGATTAACCTGTTGAATTGGAGATAGTTCACCATGCAATGATTTCATAAATATCGGCTTTAATTACCTTTGGTAAATGAAATAACCAAACAATCATTCATTTTCTAATATAGCTGTATAACTAATCTGAAAAGTTTTCAAAATAAATCACTTTAAAAATGTATAGTGTGTACCTTCTAAAATGAAACCTACATCTATGAGTTGTGAAGAATATGTATTAAGGTTATAACAACCAACAAGAATGCACTTTTATGTAGAAATCCATGATTAAATCGAGTCTTCCTGACTAATGATTTAAGTCAAATCCACCCTGACAGGAATGTTTGGGCTTTTTGAAAACCATTTCGTTTCCTGTCAAAACTAATAAAACTGAAAATTTCAGAAAATGGACTGAAGAAAAGAAAAAAAAGTTAATTTTAACTTTTAAAGTTATCTGATGCTTTTGCCATCCAAGAAGAACAAAGGCACTTAGAGAAATGTTGCACAGTCATTAAGCAGACTGCATATTCAGGAGCTAAAGGTGTCACCTAATCTAACCCTGAAAGCAGGGTGCCAATGAAAGAGACAGCAACAAACTTTGAATCTAAACATGTCTGAAAGAGGCTTACTGTCCTATAATTTCATGGAAATAGGAAGATATAAAAAAATAAACCACCCCTCTGAAATGAGAACCCCTCACGCACATCCTCTCTACCCTGCTTAAAAACAGCAAGCACTACACAATTCATCCAGTCCACCTCTACAAGCAAGCTGCCACAGCAGCTAAAAAACACAGAAGACTCAAAAAGAAACCCAACCCAAGAAAACCTCCTCAAGATTTCAACTATGGTGAGATAAAGTTAACTAAGACACTGCCAAAGGATTAGATTTTAAACTATTTTATTTTATTGGAATAGTGAAATGCAGTAACTTAAAATATTAATAGTTTCTCTTGATATTCACCAAAAGGTTAAACTGTATTCTTGGAGAAGAAATGGGGCTAAACATCGGTAAATAAACAGTGGGATTTAATTGGATATAAGATTTTTAACTGGCCAGTCTCAAGACAGCTCCTTAAATGGTTTCTTCTAAGTAAGTGATTTAAATATTTTCTTGGATTTCATGGAATTTAGTGAAAATTGCTTACTCTGCCCAATGATAGTATGTTGTTATCAATGATTTTTATTATATATAAATATAGATAGATAGACAGAGACACCCACCCACCCCCCAAACAGGATACACCTGCTCTTGAAATTATTTTCTAAAGAACACAAATATTCTTTGTTCTCTAAGGATAGACTAAGTCTGGTTTCATAATAATTTTGGGAAATAGGGCCTTAGTTTCAGTTTATAAAGAGAAAAAAGCGCCACACCAAAGGCGAGTCCACTCTCAGAGACGTAACTCTGCTCAAAGCTCTCCAGAGAGAGACATACTTCCATTACAGTCTGTTCTGTAACTGGTTTATTAGTTGGGTTCTATCACTTGTGTTGCTTTGTTTAATGTTTTCTTTTCCTTTCTTTAACAAAATAGCCAAGATCAATAGCTTGATTATTTTTCCTGATCTCAATTATGGTGTACCCAAAGGTATGTAAAGAATCTGACCTTGTAGTTGGCAATAAGAGAAACAATTAGTAAGAACTGGCTTACTATTTCTAGTTTCTCTAAACATTTTTAGTAATTTATAATAATACAATTACTTGGCATCCAACAATTTAAAATTACCCCTTTCTACCCCATACAACTATATGGCCCTTTAAGAAATTGAAAGATCAGTCCCATTAGGAAATAGTACAATACGCCCTCTCTCATCCATTTTCTTTTGTCTAATAAGAGTCTGAAACATTAAGGACACTGCAGATATAGAAAGGAATCTCCTATAAAAGAGAAATTCCTCCTCACGCAGCATTTCTTAAATTTCCTTTTCTACACAGGGTTAGTTCACAGAAGCAAAGGATAAGCAAACAAAATTAAATTAGATATTCAAGAAGGAACACACATTTATTGCCTTAAGCACATTCATATGTAAAAATGGGCTGAGTAATAAGATAGACAAATTTTTTTGTCTAAGAAAACTTTTAAAATAAAAGATTACCATACTGTTTGGAAACTAGCCTAAAACCTGCTACTTAGTAGTGTTTTTCCATCAGTGTACTTTTATAAATAGTTTCTTACTTTCAGAGTACAATAAGCAAATAGTAAGCGCTTCTTTGTTCCATGCTGATCTATAGCTGAAGTAATCACAAACAATGTACAGAGATTTAGTATCTTAATTATGAACTAACCTGGAGCAACCACGTTGACTCGAATTTTCTTTCTTGCTACTTCTTTAGCAAGAGAGCGTGAAAATCCAACTAACCCTGCTTTGCTGGCACTGTACACACTCTGACCAGAATTGCCCTTGAGTCCAACAATACTTCCTAAAACAAACAGAAGAGCAAACAGAGGCCAAATGACAGGCTAAATTTATTCTTTTACAACTTCAGTTGTGGCTTTACTGAAGTCAGAACTTTTAATCACCATCCTTTTAAATAACAGCAATGAGAGCTCGATATGCATGTTGCGTCCCCATCGGCAAGTTAGAACTAAAATCTTCCCTTGAATACATGCCTAACTATTGGAGAGACAGTTAAGATTACAACTAAAGTAATGAAAATAAGATTGCTTCCTGAATATTAACTTATCACTGACAGCAAATCTCTCAGCTATCTATGTACAGTTCATACAAATATGCACCAGAAAATTATAGTACTGGTAAGTCTGTGGCAAAGCTCCCTGAATAATACCCTCCTAGAGAGAAAAAAAGCCATGCCTTTCTCTATTTTGATTTTAATTAAGAATAACGCTTGCAATAATTGGCAGAAGTTACGGGAAGATTATAAAAGCATGATGAAATGCAGACTAAAGGTTTTATAAGGACTTTATCATGGACATGAGCTGTGTTTACATTCAGAGGTTGCTGAAAAAGTTTAAAAAGGAACAATGTGTTCACAAAAGAAAGGCTAAGAAAATAGTGACTCAATGAGTTTAATGAGAAAACACACGTGCATAAAGTTACTTGATTGTATAAGGGTTTGCAGGACTAGGAATAAAAAAGCTAACCACACACACAAAATTCATCATAATTGAAAAAACACAATACTCCTTCAGCCTTTCATAGTGTGTGTTACTTGTGGACTGCTTTAAAAAGGCACTGTAAATCTGCAATCTAGTCTTTTTTTAAAATTAAAAGTAATATAAAACATTACACCTGCCTTTGAATCCTCTTCCCAATTGTTATGGTTTAAAAAAACAACCACAACACACACACACACAAACACACTTTCCTAATTCTTTAACATATTCCTGTCTTTCACAAACAGAGAAATCTATCAGACTGTCCAGATGAAACAACCAAGCTAACTTTACACCAAATGCTATGAATAGTGACAGGTAAATACACTGGGGGAAAATAGAGGGGGGGGAAATATCTTATTTTTCAGTTGTAGGCATATTTGGTTTTCATCTTACAATTAGCTTCAAATGGGCACAGAAGTCTAATCATTTGAAGCGCATTCCAGGCTTGGATAATAATAATAGGCAGAATATTTTCAAAATGATGTGTGAAGAATTTATTATTTGATTATGCCCCTCTACAAGTAACTGGACCCAATGATAAAATATTAATTTCAGGACATTATGCATTTCCTACAATTGTGTTTCAATTTTGGATTCTTACTACACGTTTTTAGAGGTATACCTTTTAACATGAAATTTCTAAGGCCTGGTCTACACTAACCCCCCAAGTCGAAGTAAGGTACGCAACTTCAGCTACGTGAATAACGTAGCTGAAGTCGACATACCTTACTTCGAACTTACCGCGGTTCAGATGCGGTCCACACGCGGCAGGCAAGCTCCCCGTCGACTCCGCGGTACTCCTCTCGCCGAGCTGGAGTACCGCAGTCGACGGCGAGCACTTCCTGGTTCGACTTATCGCATCCAGACCAGACGCGATAAGTCGAACCCAGAACTTCGATCCCCAGCCGCCGAACTAGCGGCTGGGTGTAGAACAGCCCTCAGACTGTGTCTAAGAAAGTCAATGAAATATAATTAACCACCTTCAACTTGCCTAAGGTGGAGACTCACCTATGTTAACAATAGCACCTCCCTGCTGTTGAAGCATATGCCTTACAGCAGCTTTGCATGTCAACATCGTTCCCAGAAGGTTAGTGTTAATTTGGGATACCATATCCTCAGATGTGGTTCTCAGCAACAAGCCATCCCTGTCAAAAAAAAAAAAAAACACCCTGAAAAATTGGTTTAAGTCATCCCTGGTCAAATTCCGTTGACCAGAATGAAGTTACACCAGGTAAGAATTTGACCCTACATATACTAGCACTGTTCTTGATAACACTGAAAAATTATGCACAGGAATAAGACATAAGGCCCGCATCAGCCATTTTGCCGATAGTATATGACAAGCGGTCAAATGTTCTAGCTCAGAGGACTGTCAAACACTAATTTCTAATGGATCAATTTATTTTTGGCCATGAAGAGACCGGAAATTATATATATTTGTACTGGAGTTTCACTTCCATTGAAAATAATATATCTTTGAGTACAACAGAAAAACAAGGAGAGTGAAGTAATATGTTTTATTGGGCCAACTTCTGTTGAAGAGAAAGACAAGCTTTCGAACTTACGCAGAGCTATTCTTCAGGTCTAGGAAGTGGACTTGGAGGGTATGTCCTCACTGCAATTAGACACCCACAGCTGACCCATGTCAGCTGACTCAGGCTCACAAGGCCATAAAATTGTGGTATAGCTTGAGCCTGAGCTCTAGGACACTAGGGAGGATCCTAAAGCTCAGGCTCCACACCAAGCCCTAATGTGTATTTTATTTTTTTACAGACCCACAGGCCAGCTGCAGGTATTTAATTGCAGTGTAGACATATCCTTAGTGTGGCAGCTAAAACACAAAGTGGAACATATTAACTACTTATGCTAAACAACACATATTTCAAGGGATTATTAAAGGAGAAATAGCCCCTTAGTACCTCTCAGTGGTGCTAGTAAAATCCATGTCTTACCAGTACGGGGGAGGGAAAGGGGGGCACCAACTAAGTGGGGGCACGTGACCTCCGCATGTGACTCCTCACCGACCCGCCTCCAGCCCGGGGCTCCTATGCTCTCACCGTCCCCTCCCCATATCCATCCCATGTTATCTGGGGCGGGTGGTGGGGGGTTTACGGGGTTCTGTCCTCCTCCTGCTGTGCCAGAGACAGGGCTGGGAAGGGGGGGGCGGTATAGCAGCCGGAAGAGCTGCCAGCATTCTGCTTCCTTCTCTGCTGCTGCCCCTCCCAGTGGGGAAAGGAGCAGAACTCCCAGCTGCATCTCCATCCTTCCTCATACTACAGCAGCAGCCCTCCTGAGATAGGGCTGGGGGCGGTACAGTCACTGGAGGAACTGCTAGCATTCTGCTCCTTTCCCTGCTGCCCCTCCCAGCATGGAAGTGAGCAGAACCGCCAGCCTCGCCCCCCCCCCCCCCCGCCCCCCAGCCCTCTCCTCTGGCAAGGTTGCTGCTGTGTCTTTCTGGTACACCGTACCGGCTATAAATGGCTTGCTAGTATGGTGTACTGGCCTACTTGCACTGCTGGCCCCTCTCAAGTCGTGTGGGGGAGGGAAGGGTTAAACATTGTTGTAATAAGCCATAAATTCAGTGTCTTTATTCAGTCCATGTTTTTTGGTGTCTAGCAAAGTTATGAATTTATGCTCCCAAGCTCATCTTTTGAAAGTGTTGTGCAGGTTTCCTTTGAGAATGAGAACTGAGAGGTCATAGCTAAAGTAATTGCCTTGTGAAAATTGTTCACCCACAGGTGATATGGTGTTTGTGTCTTATTTTTTCTGTGAGAGTTCATTTGAGAGCATAGTGATTATCTTGTTTCACTCCCACAGTTGTTATTGGGATATTTAGTGCATGTACAAGATCCATGGATCTTGAAAAATGTGTTGCAGAGGATGTTGATCATCACAGCAGTAATTATGTCTACAGGTTTTGCATCTGTTGTTCTGGCTACAACAACACTGACCACAATACACAGTCTTCAGATACACTTCCATTCATTTTTAGAGCCATTAACAATGTGTTTACTTTTGCAATTATTCTCTCAGTATATTTAGTACCTTTCAACAAGAATGCATACCCTACTCTTACTTTCAACATAAAACTAACCTGTTGACTCCAGCAGCATTAACCAAGTAATTAACATGACCTAAATTCTTCTCCACCTCCTCAAGTGTATTTTGGACATCTTGTTCCATGGCTACATCACAGCTAAGTGCCATATGACCTGCTGTATTGAAATGAAGTTGCATTAGGGTAATAGTAAATATAAATAGCAAAATAATAGTAAAAACAGATGTTGAACTAGTTCTAACTTAAGAAATCTGCTCCACCTCAAAGGAGAGTTAAATGAGGACACGTTTCAAGAAGTCTGCTGATTAGTTACAACACTTTCTTGTGTTTTGAATTTTTTGGCCCTTTTCAAGTTTGGAATCAATGTGGTCTAGAACAATTTGAGGTCTAGGCTGGCTGGAAGCCAAGAATTGCCAAGTTTTAACACCGTTTCTGTCACCAACTCACATGACCGTGGACGACTGCCTTAATCTCAAGTTACCCTATCTGTAAAAGGGTGTCTGTAACAATTATTTACTTACCACCTTCCTGGTAGGAGTGTTATGAAGATTATATATTTGGGGAAAAAAGTAAAGTTTTGTGTGAACTGCTCTTAAATGCAAAAATATTGTTATAAAATATAGCTATAAAATTCCCGAAAGAATAGATGGTTCTTAAATGCTGCTTGGAATTTACACACTTTTCCTAACTGAAAAAATGGTATTGGCAGATAACACAAACCCTGCCAGTGTCAGGCCCTAGATTTCATGGCTTATGTTTCAAAACAGCAATGCACACTACTATGCTCAAAAATAGTTTAAATGCACTTTATAATTAATACACAAAATTCACTGGACATTCATTTTGAAACTACACAAATTTAAAAACAAAATAGACCATCTTGCTCCCAGTGACGTTAATGAGAACTTTTCCATTGACAATCATGAGAACAGACCCAGGCCATTATTCACACTATTTCGATAGTAAATCCTCCATCTGCTTTGCTATATGTGGCTTAATTCTCAAATAGATGCTCCGCCTTTTACTTTCACCTGCATTTGTGAATATGCTCAGTTTAGATATATTACTCTTACCAGTTACCTAAACAGTGGACAGGGCATGAATAAACAGTAACAAAGCAATATACATACCACCAAGGTGAGTCACAGTAGTTTGAGCTACTTCCAGATTTCTAGCAATAATAGCCAAGCGGTATCCTTTCCATGCCAGCAGTTGTGCAACAGCTTTTCCAATTCCTCGGGATCCTCCAAAAATGGCACAAACTTTGGCCATCTCCAAAGAATAATTCACAAACAGCAAATAAGTCTACAGTCAACAGTGACAGGCACCACATATTTTAGGAACTGGTCCTTTATGATGCCAATTATCTTCCATTCCCACTGAAGTCAATACAGCACTCTATCGTATCAGATTGTTTCAGTGTTACTGTATTCATACCAAGTTTATTTAAACTTTATCAAACAGCTGAACTAACCACTATTAGCTATGTGTTAAGGCGGAATATCTTCAGTTGAGAAATAAGTGTACTAAAATTTCTGAATTACAGATAATCTTCAATTTTGCAGTCAGATAATCATGAACTACAAATTAACTATTATTTTAAGAGTGTGATAAAGTTTGCAAGCAATATAAAGAATTATATACCTGCTCAAGTCAGTGCTTATAATTCGGTCTTTTCAAAGCCAACTCAAGAACTAAATGTGATTACTGTATTAGCACTTCTGATATTAAAGCCACTCAGACTTTTGATCTTGGCCTCAAAACTCATCCCAAGCATCTCTATGACACCATAACATACCCTATTTTTATTAGTAACACTTACTGTGTTTACATTGCCACTAACCGAACAGTATTTTGTTAATTGCTTCTGCTTTTAAATAAAAAGCTTGTTTAATCAGTTGAAATGATGCTTGAGCAGGTATGTACCTAACTTCAAGCCAAAACCTTGTGCCTTAGTAAAGACAGAATAAGGGCACTAGAATTTGTCACTTTGCCATTATAATGTTGCTTCCTGTGGGAGAGGTGAAGGTAGAAAAGAGGCCTAGTTTCTTTTCTGCTGGTTATGGAAAGAATGCCAAAGGTATCTTTTCAGTTAACTGCCATGTTACATCAAGGGAAATTATGAACATAGGTTTTTAACATGAAAATATTCTGGAACTACATAGACTCCACTTAGCAGTTTTATACAATCTGATAATACCCTTTAAGAAAAATAAATCGTCAGTCCACAAAGGACCATCACAACTGGCAGTTTCAACAGAGAGTGGCCCAGAAGTGAATCAATAATATTTTATAGGGTCATTCCCCCTTACTGAATCACTGCACTTTGTCTTTTACCACAAGGTCAAGGTTGGTATTCTCACCTTTGAGACACTACAGAACCCCCATCTTTCCAGACATTTGTTTTATACCACAGCACCTTTTATCAAAGGATTTCAAAATGCTTTGCCAACTCTAGGCCATCATGGAACTACTCACATGAAAAAGGCCTGTTGGACTGAATCCTAGGGAGAAAAATCTATCCCTGTAGTGGTACTGAGACTAGTGAAGGGGCAGAGTCTTGCACCTTTTCTACTACTGGGGCCATTTTGGCTTCTGGTCAAAGTTTGAACAGCACTAATATCTGCTCAGACACCGAGGTTGGATGCAGCACCTGCTATACACCATTTCAGTCCCAGGACACAACAATGTCTCAGCCATGCCTTCTCCTTCCAGTGATGTTTCCACATCACTGTTCTCCCATGCCCACGCGGGGTGACTTGTTCTCCTGAAAGCAACAGAGAGTCCTGTGGCACCTTTAAGACTAACAGATGTATTGGAGCATAAGCTTTTGTGGGTGAATACCCGCTTTGTCAGATGCATGCGTATTCACCCACAAAAGCTTATGCTCCAATACATCTGTTAGTCTTAAAGGTGCCACAGGACTCTGTTGCTTTTTACAGATCCAGACTAACACGGCTACCCCTCTGACACTTGTTCTCCTGAGTTTCACATCTTGGGAATGAACGGGACTGTTAACTCTTCATGCAAGGAGGCCCACAGGCTTGCAGGGCTCCTCCACGCGCACACCCGCCCTGCAGGGGCAGCGTGGGGAGAACACTACGGGGCTCGGCCCGGAACAGCGAACACCCAGAGGCGCTCGGACAGCTCCCAGGAGTCGCTTTCAGCCTCGGCTCCAGGTGACTGTAGCGCAGCCTCCCGCGGACCCCCTCCACCTGCCGGAGCTTCACGCGAGCGGCGCAGACCCTACCCGGCAGAGAGCGGGCGGCCAGTCTGGCAGGCAGCGCCCCCCGGGCGTTCACCCACCCCCGCTCCCCAGCTCCGCCTTCCGCCAGCCTCCCCTAGGGAGAGTGGCAGTTGGCGAACCCGCCTCGGGGCCAGGTTTCAGCGTGGCAACCGGCTCCCTGGGGCGGAGCAAGCGTTGGAGCCTCGTGCCCCCTTCCACTGCAAGCGCCCTCGGCCTCGCGCTATTTCAGGCGCTTGTCACAGTGGCGCAGCTATACTCTGGGTTCAGCAGTAGCCGGTTACCACGGAGACCACGCCGAGCTCTGTAGCACTCGTCTGCATTCCTCCCGCTACCTCGCTTGGAAAAGCGCGCGCGCGCAGCCCTTCCTTCGTTGTGGCGCACGAGCGGAGACTGCACCGCCTCTCATAAAACGCTATGCAGATCCTGCCAGAGACTACCGGTCCCAGCATGCAATTCGGCCAGGCTGCTCGGGCTACGGATAGAGTGCCCGTAGCTGCCGGCATTATTAGGAAGCAGTGCATGCTGGAACTTGTAGTCGGAGTGCCCAGGTGAAGTTCCGACTGCTGCTGCGCGGGTTCGCAGACCGAAGACGCCCTGCCGCACAGGTTATTTGCGTTGGACTAGGAATAATCTTCCAGTAATTAAACACCACCCAAAGCCTCACGGCAGCCCCCCCAGACAACATGCACCTTGCCCCAGCTGCCATCTCACAAACCAGGCTTCGTCAGTTTTATCACGTGCGATAAAGCCCCAGGTGGTTCTAGGGGATCACAAATTGAATAGGAGTCAATACCGTGATGCAGCTGTGAAAACAGCAGCTATTCTGGGCTCTCACCGTCCCTTCAAGCCCTTCAGTTCTATGGTTATTTTATGAGAATCTTTTTCATTTTAAACAAAAATTGGTAATGCTAAGCTCAATCAATACATCATTCAGAATTTTTTTTACTACTACATTTTAGGTGATTTTTATTTGTCTTCTGGTTACTGAGCCTTTCAGGTGGATTCGTGTCATGTTCTCGAGCTTCTCTCTACAACTGTGAGGACCAGAAATTCATTTTTAAACAAAAGCTGAGCTTCTCGCCTACTCCATTGCCTCCAGGAGCCAGATCTTTAAGGAAAACAGCACGTATCATGAGATGGTGAAATCACAAGAGTTGCCAACATTGAGTAAATCTAGTCCTCAGAGTTGCTGAAAATAAGCAATAAAAGAATCAATATTTTTAAACCTCATGATTTTAAGCCAGTCTCAATTTTGGGGACCCTATTCATGATTTTTGAATGCTTTCTATTGACAATGCTGCAGGCAAACCTAGTCACCCCTGCATGCCCCGCCCCCAGACATGCAGTTATTACTTATGTGCCATGCAGCATCTACCTCTCTCTCTCACTCCCAGACCCCAGCACATAGACAATTTTGCTCTATCTTAGTTCAGAGGTTTTAGGATTTTGAACTGAAATCTCAGTTTTACACCTTGAAGCAGTAATTTACAATTAACCTATCAGCTATTTTAACACTGCACTTTTTAACCTAACCCTGCTCCTGTCCCGAAGAATCTGTTGCCAGAAATGATTTGGCATGCAAGTGTGCTGAGAACTTGTCTTGCATCACATTTACACTGAAAATTGCTGCAATTTTCTTTTTAGCATATCCCTATTGGATATCTAAGAATCTTTTTTTCCCTTCCTCTTAGTATATTTCCCTTTTCCCCCATGGATCTATCAGCTTGTCTCTACACTTATGTGTTTTTTGCTTTAACCATGCTGGCATAATTAAAATGGTATTCTCTCCACCTCAGTGTACACCAGGATAAGGTTTTTATATCAGCAGGGCCGGCTCCACGCACCAGCTTGCCAAGCAAGTGCTTGGGGCGGCCACTCTGGAGAGGAGCAGCACATCCAGCTATTCGGCAGCAATTCGGCGGACGGTCCCTCACTCCCGCTCGGAGCGAAGGACCTCCCGCCGAATTGCCACCGCAGATCGCGATCGTGGCTTTTTTTTTTTTTTTTTTGGTGCCGCTTGGGGCGGCAAAAACCCTGGAGCCGGCCCTGTATATCAGTATAGCTGCATCTACACTAGGGCTTTTACTAGAATAATCATATCATAAAAAACCCACCCCCCACATACTTCTGACATGGTTATGCCAATAAAACTTCTTAAGTGTAGAAGACCAGACCTTTATCATAGATGATATAATACTGAGTGGGACAACACAGCTCATCAGCCATTCAGTAATAAGTTGGAGGATCTTTTGAGTGACAAGGTCTCCTTTCCTCTACAGAGAGAATGTCTACACCACAGCTGCTACACAGACACAGCTATGGTGCTGCAGCTGTGCCACTGTAGTACAGATTCTTCCTGCATCAACAGAAGAGGTCTCTTCCCCCTCTCCCCTCCCCACTCAACATAGTTAATCCTCTCTAAGAGATGATAGCTAGGTCAGTGGAAGAATTCTTCCATCAGCCTAGCCACATATACACCAAGGGTTAGGTTGACCTAACTGTGATATGTGCAGATGTGGTCATCCCACCTTAAAAAAGTTATATTGGGATTGGAAAAGGTTCATAAAAGGGCAACAAAAATCATTAGGGGATGGAACGGCTTCCGTATGAGGAGAGATTAATAAGAGTGGGACTTTTCAGCTTGGAAAAGAGATGGCTAAGGGGAGATATGATTGAGGTCTATAGAATCATGACTGGTGTAGAGAAAGTAGATAAGGAAGTGTAGTTTACTACTTCTCATAAGAACTAGGGGTCACCAAATGAAATTAATAGGCAGCAGGTTTAAAACAAATAAAAAGAAGTATTTCTTCACACAAGCACAGTCAACCTGTGGAACTCCTTGCCAGAGGATGTTGTGAAGGCCAAGACCATAACAGGGTTCAAAAAAGAACTAGATAAATTCATGGAGGATAGGTCCATCAATGGCTATTAGCCAAGATGGGCAGGAATGGTGTCCCTAGCCTCTGTTTGCCAGAAGCTCGGAATGAGCGACAGGATCACTTGATTACCTGTTCTGTTCATTCCCTCTGGGGCACCTGGCACTGGCTACTGTCAGAAGACAGGATACTGAGCTAGATGGACCTTTGATCTGACCCAGTGGGGCCATTCTTATGCTCTTAGAATGTTCAGCGCATTAAATTTTTCATAGCCCTGAGTGACATAGCTAGGTCAAGCTACTTTATAAGTGTAGACCAGACCGGATTAATTTGGCA